GAAACTATCACGGGACCGACCCAAAATATTTCAAGACATTTATAATAATCTGTTTTAGCGCTAAATTTGCACCTTCAGGGACCTATAAAGTTACCGTTGACAGTGCAAAGCTTGCACTTATTAGTTCTTCATTTTAATTAACGAAAATTAAGTGTACAATTAATAATCGCAAAATGTTAAATACAGCTAAATCTAATGGTAAATTCATATATTTAATCGTAACCTCAATTGAAAACTCCGTTACCTGATTTCTCTACGTCGTTATTCATTGTTTAACTGTGATGCAATGTAAGAACACCACAATAACACAAGAGAGAAGACAATCTGAATTAAACTGGTTGTTGACACTGGTGGAGGTTCTATTATATAGTTGATTTTTTTTAATTGCATTGAATATTATAATTCAATTTATTTTTAAGACAAAATCAAACTTCAAAACATGGAAAAAGATTTTACACACCACTATCTGCAAGTTAAAATTGGCTTGTTCTCTTGTTATTCATAAAATAATTGCATTAATAATGATTGTGCAATTTATCAGATGGTGTCAAAATATTGAATTATGAAGGCTACAATGAAAATGAGGTGGGAACATTTGTTACGAAATAAAAACTATTTAAATTTGGGGAAAAAAAATCATTCTAAGGCGCAAATTTAGCGCATGTAACGTGATTATAGATCGGCTGTTTATAAGTATATTTACATTAAACTAGGTGAAATTTGATTACAAATAAATCGATCTGTCCGATATGTGTGTATGTCAGTATGTGTATATATATGAATCCAACAAAAAAATCCATTGCCATATCGATGAATATCATTTTTTCACATATTAATTGATAAAACACTTATTTAATGCATGCAAATTTCACGTCTGCAACAAGTATATGTATAGGTAATATACATTATTGAATTTATTTATCTAGCTTTATTTAAAAATAAAAAATTAACCATAACTCAATGCACAGGCTTTTTCAAAATATTTATAGTAACGTGTTAGCGCAAACTTTGCACCCTAAAGGCGGCTTACAAATTTATCCGTGATCGCGCAAAGTATGCGCTAATTTATATCTTACGTGCAGAATTTGATAATACAAAATGATTAATACATAAAAAGAAAATCTATTGCTAAATTCATATATCTAATTGTTCTTATGTTAAAACTTTAAATGCACAACTATTTTCAAATCATTTTATCATAGCAATGTGTTTCGGCCCTCAATTTGCACCTTAACGGATCTATAAATTTGCCCGTGACCGCGCAAAGCATACACTGATACACTTATTAGTTATTCAATATTATTTAAATAAAAATTAAGTGTAAGATTTGAAGAAATTCAAACTCGAGCATAATATTTGTGAATTGGAGAACCTCATTTGCTTAAGATGGGCCAATGAGGTTTTTTATTTTAGTCTATTTATTATTATTTTAAACATAAAATAAAATACGATTTAAAATAAAATAATAAAATAGATAACAAACTTTGTAATATTGCAATATTCGAACTAATCTGACATTTCGGAGGATTCAAGAAAAGCTTTACAAACATATATATATTCAACAGATAATAATAATACTAAATTACTGCTGAAACTGAAAATCGAAACTCTTCTACTTTAACATTATTTTTTTTTGTTTTGTTTTCCTAACCGAAATTTAATTAAGATCTTGGTATACAAAATTACCAGTAGATCACTTACAAGAGAGAGAGAGAGAGAGAGAGAGAGAGAGAGAGAGAGAGAGAGAGAGAGAGAGAGAGAGAGAGAGAGAGAGAGAGAGAGAGAGAGAGAGAGAGAGAGAGAGAGAGAGAGAGAGAGAGAGAGAGAGAGAGAACTATGATCTATCCATTCCATCTGGCACTTCAGGAATCTCAACGATGCTGTCCAAAGATGGTTTCCAATTAACAACAACGTTAATTTTCTGTCTGCTTCGTTGCAACTCTATCTCTCCCAACAAATCCTCAATTCTTTTCACTTCTTTATTTTGCAGCTCCGTCATCAGCCAATTCAATTCCTCCTTTGTCAGCATAATCTTGATTCTCGTGTTGTTTCCACCACTACTCTTTTCTTCTTCTTCTTTTTCTTCTTCATCCTTGATATTTTCTGGGATTTTTTTGCATGCAGTTTCTATGCAGTTCCCCATGCTACAGTTCTCTCTTTTTTGTTGCTAACTGTGAAATTGGATCCAGAAAGTATGGGGGAAAGAAGAAGCTGATAATAATTGAGCAGTAGAGAGTGGTTAACAATTGCATGTGAGTGTGGGGCTCATCCCCCTTTAATAGAGTTTCATGTACCACTTGCATTATATATATTAGTATATATATTGCATGGGGATTAATATAATTAATCAATATATTAGGGTTTTGTCTTCTTCTCCTTTATTTTATTAACATCTTTATTCATTTATATTATTATATATATTTTTATTTTATTAAAATCTACATTTATTAGTAGATTTCAACATTTATAAATGGTATCAAGTGTACTAATCCATGGCCAATTAATAAAATATTATTTTCTACATTATATATAATCAAATTAAATATACATTTTAAATTAAAATATTATTGCATATATAGTTATTGTAATATGAGATGTTTAAATGTTTGTCATAAATGCATACGAAATCTTCTTGATTTCTTATTCCCTCAACTAATTTTATGTCACAATAAATAAATAAATGATTTCAGTAACTATCAGGAGGACTATTCCTTCACCAAAAGAGTCAAGTTACAGCAGCGGGGTCGCATAATTAAATTGATCAGTCAGTCATTGAGAGTGATATGGTCCATCAAATAAATATTAAATATACTACCTAACAAATAACAATATACATTACTTATTATTATTATTATGCATTTAAAAAAAATAAAAAAATAATACAGTTTGGATTAATATTCAAAATGGCCAAGAACCAGTCAGCAAAAACTGTGAAAAATAGTCCACGTCTAGTGTGTTAAGATCTTTGGGGTAGAAAATGAAGTAGTAATTTATTTTATTTTTTATTTTTTATTTAGTCTTTTTTGACTAATCACATGAGATTAATATAAATTACGGCACAAAATCAGGGTGACAAGGTCTAATAGGAACATAATTCGGTGCAGACAAATATTATTCAACAATGAGTGTGAACCCATTTAAATATTTATAATTATTTGACCGCTATTCAATTTTTCTATTGAATTCTCTCATTTCCTACGAGTTATTTACACCGGGTGCATCGGGTGAATTTTAATCTTTAATTTGCACTTAAACACACAAAAAAACTTTAATGAGTTATGCCAAAAAAATATTGACAATGCAAAGAGGCATAGGATTGATATTATTAGTATTTGAGCAATTAAATGTATTTTGCTATATCCTTATGGTTACTTATTTGGGTAAATTCTAATGTCCCTCTTTTTACTTGGGTTTGGTATTACTTTACCCTCTTCTATTCTTGATTGCATCAATTTGCTCATTGTACTTGGAAAATTGTCTTAATGTGGTCATCGTTGTTAGTTGTCAGACATTTGACCTTAATACCACAACGTTTGATCTAAGCTCTGAAATTACAAAAACGTCATATCTCCCAATTTAAATAATTATTCCAAAAAAAATCAAGACAACGAGAAAACATAGTCCACGATGCCAATCACAATTTTTTTTAACCTACTTATTTACTAGGGGTAGGCTCACATGCCAGATGGCCAATCACAAGGAGCCGACGTGAAGTTCACGTGTTGGACCATTTAATCTGTCTACGTTAATTAGTCAATAATTGATTGATACTGTACTACTTACAGGAGACCGTCAAAATATTAATAACACGACCATAAATAAAGCAAATACTAAATGACCATCCAAGAAGCCAAGATGCAATAAAATTATTTATTTAGATCTTGTTGGTGAGGAGAGAATCTATTTGTTGAAATGTGACATAATCGTTTATATATATATATATATATATATATATATATATATATATATATAAGTCACGGTCGCAATAATTTCTTAATCTCTCTCTCTCAAAAAAAATTAAATAATAATAATAATAATTTCCTAATCTCATTTGTCTTTATTGATTTTGTTATTTGAAATCAACACTGGTAACGTGGCCTGCCCGAGCAAGAATCTAAAATTCAGCAATACTATTAAATTAGACCTAACAATTTTTGTGTGATTTAATTTTGACGACAATGTACTATGTTTAGGTAGAAAAAATATTATTTTTTGTCAAGGGGAAAATAAAAGGGTGGACTGTAATTAAGCATATTAGAGAGTTTTTTTTTGTCTTAAAATAAAAAAAAGAATTATATTAGAGAGCAATTATGATGGGCCGGCTTCCTCAGGCCCATTAAGAACTGTAAATGGTATTTGTTAAGGCCCGTATAAGGAAAAGTACGGCCCATATTTACTATATTAATGATATGTTAAGGCCCATATAAGAACTAGAAATGATTTGTTACACGGATCCAATTTTACGAAATCCAAATCATATGTTAACCCGACCCTACCCGACCCGACCCAATTCAACATTTATTTTGTGGAACGAAAATTTTAGAATTTAGAATTGATGCGAGTTTTGACCGTGATACAAATATAATTTTAGGAAATACAAAACATGATAGTTGTATAACATGTCATCGTTTTTTTAATGCAACTTGAATTAGTTCGATCGAAATTGGACGCAAAAGTTACAATCAAAATAAAACATGCAGGGAAAATCCGTAATTTTACTTCTGGTCAAACATGGTCAACGGCGAGTAACATATCAACGGATGAGATTGTATGTTCCAACTTTTAAGTTGTTTTTCCGCCACAAAGAATGCAGATAGTTCAACTTTTAAGTTGTTTTTCCGCCAAACTCAAGTGAAATACAAGTAAAGGTATTATTGCAGTATTTTATTCAATATTCTTTTTATTGAAATCATAACCATTGACTTCTCACCACCGACTTTACAATTTACATGCCCAAAATTAAATAAGAATATTGATTAATTATTTGGATGCCAAAATAAAATTAACTAATATAAAATTACATAATTTACTGAAATTTCGATAAATTATTTTATTGGCACTCGGAATGCAACAAAAAATTCCCTAAAAGGTAAAATAAGGCAAAAAAAAACATAATAACATAATAGTTTGTGTTGACCTAGAAAATTATTGACTAATTATTTAGTTAAATATGACTAATTTTTGCAACCAAACGAGGCCTTATATTTCAAAGTAATTTTCCCAATAGTTCTACTAATCTAGAAATTAGGCCAAAGCAGTCTAGCATAATTTAACATTTTTTTCTTCGTCACCAATAGTTGGTCCTAAACAATTTTCTCCACGTCAACATTTAAATACACAGTCAGTGTCAAAATCTGATGTCACCTACTCTAATCTAATTATTATTATTATTATTAATGGTAAATTACGAAAAACTCCTAAACTTAGCAAAATTACTAAAAACACCCCACTTATTCGTAATTATCAAAACCCCCGACGTTTGTTTCCATCTTGTACCAACACCCTTAAGGTGCGATTTTTCATGGAATATCTTTGATTCCAAGTAAAGTTTCTCGATGAAATATCGATTCTACCCCTACAAACGTGAAATTTCTTTATGCTACCTTTTAAAGACAAGGATTTCCTTTGGGCTTTACACGGAAAACCTTTACTTCTTAAATAACACCTTCACAAATTTTCTGGTACACTATTATCAATATGAGAGTAATTTTTATCTGTAAAAAAGTAACATAAGGAAATGACACTTTTATAGGGAGTTAATTGCAAATACCACCCCTGTGAAATCTCTAATTGTCAAATAACCCCCTATCAAAATAAAATTAGCTCATACCCCCTTGTGTAACATGTTTTGAAGCACACTGCACCCATTTTCATTTTAACCTTTGACCAAGCGTAAAAAGACAAGAATGCCCCAGGGCTTTATTGCATTAGTAAATCATATTAGTGTTTATAATTTTTTTAATAGTTTTTCAATTTTAAATAAAAAATTCGAAATATAATAATAATAATAATAATAATAATAATAATAATAATAATAATAATAATAATAATAATAAATAGCTCGACAAAAAAAAGCCCTCCGACGCCGACGACCTCAATTTCCGTCCGCCGCTGCTCCAGTCTTCTTCCGCTGAGAGGAGCTGCTTCAGTAGCAACGGCGCCGCCAGCAACGGCCAAATATATGAAGAAGAAGCCGAAACTCTCATCGTCTGGGCCAAGCCTCTCGCCGGAAGTCAACCCTCACAGGCGGCGAAGCAAAAGGGGAGTCTCCCAAGCTCCCAAAACCAAGAAACAACCCCCCACAAATGTAGCCCAGGAAATTCATATAGGACTAACAAATCTGAACAAAATGGTCCATGATTCCTCTTGAAGAGAAATCAACTTGTGTGATAGAAAAAATTAAAATCATCAAAATCATGCTGGCGGAGATGGAATTATCATAGATCGTGAGTTGCGGTTTGAATTTCATTCTGCGTTTGTGGGTGGTGGTGGTGTAACGGCGGAATAGAGGTGGTGGTGTTTGATTTGTAAGAAATCAAACTTCCCCTGTTCTGCTGCCCTGAGGAACGCGAAGAAGAAGGTGAGAGCTGGGCATTTTTTTTTTTTGATTTGGGGGTGTTTCTGACATTTCACACGCAAAAAGGGATAAAAATTCGCACTAGTAGCGCGTGAGGGACACGATTTGCTACGAGGGGTCTCGATGCCTTGACTTTTGTTACACAGGGGGCCATGTGTGAATTTTTTTTTTGACAGGGGGTATTTGACAATTAGAGATTTCACAGGGGTGGTATTTGCAATTAACTTCTTTTATAGGGGTTAAATTGACATTTTTCGTGAAATATTAACTGGAATTAAAAAAAGATTTCGTGAATAATTACATCGCAAGGGGGTCTCGATATAAGACTGAAACAAACATCATGGGGATTTTGTTAATTACGAATATGTGGTGGTGTTTTCGGTAATTTAGCCTAAGTTTCAGGGTTGTTTCGTAATTTACCCTTTTCTTAATCCAAATCTAATAACTTTTTACAAAGAAAAATAAAATTAAGAGAGACCAAAGCACAAACCAAAAAATGGAAAAAACCACAGCTCTGATCATCATACTCTGCTCCTCCATCTTCACACCTCTATCTGCAAACCCATGCAAACCCGATTCATGCGACGCCGTATTCGGGCCCCGAATCCGGTTCCCTTTCCGGTTAAGAAACCGCAACCCGACCCGGTGCGGCCACCCGGGTTTCGACCTGTACTGCAACGCCCTCAACCAAACGATCCTGAACCTCCCAAAATCGGGCGAGTTCGTGGTTGACCACATCGACTACGCAGCGCAGGCCCTTTTCATCAACGACCCGGATTCGTGCCTACCGGGTCGGATCCTCAACTTCTCGCTGTTGGGTTCTCCTTTCCGGGGCGCCTACACGAGGAACTATACTTTCTTGAACTGCTCCTCCGACTATTTGGACTACACCTCGACCCGTTACTACTACATGCCGTTGTTTTGCCTGAGCGGGAGGAATCACACAGTTCTGGCCACCAATACTCGGCCGGCGGCGGCGGCGGCGGAGGTGCCGCCGACGTGCCGGAAGATAGGGAGCGTTTTGGTTCCTCTGCAGTGGACGCTTGCGCAGTTCTACTGGTCGGCGATGGATTTGAGGGAGGATCTTCAGCTTGTTTGGAATCAACCCGATTGCTCCGACTGTGAAAGTCGGGGCGGCGTTTGCGGGTATAAGGATGATTCCGGCCCCGAAATTGTTTGCTACCGGCCTTCGAAATCCGGTGAGTAATTTAATTTTGGTTGTTTAATTTCCCTTTTTTTTAATTAGATTGTAAATCCCTAATACTTAGGCCTAGTTTGGTTGGCGATATAAGATTAGCCAAAATATAAGATTAAATAATTAGGTAAATTACAACCATCCATAAAGTATAGTTAAATTACATAAACCCCATTTTGTTTGGATAATTACATTTACATCTTCAACTATGAATCTTCTTACACCTTTACCTATATGATGTCAAATTCAACATAATCGTCTAGATCTTGCGGAATGTGTTATAGTTTGTATTCGTTTTGTGTAAAAATACAGTTTCTCATGCACCACAATCTGATATAGCCAAGCCAAAAAACGCATATTATGATCATTTGGCTTCAAAATATGGAGCTCGAATGGGATAAAACGGATACAAAAGTGATAGTACGTATTCCATATAATTGAGAAGATTCCACTAAATTTGAAACATCAAGGGTGGACGTGTGAGAAATTTTATAATTAAGGGAATGGTTGTAATTATGCAAACATGAGGGGTTTTCATAATTTTATTTGTAATTTACTCTAAATAATTAAATGAAAGTCAATTATATTATTGGAAATTCGACATAACAAATTATTGAAATACCAAACCAAACCTTAGAATGCAGAAAGATGGTTAATTTTGTTTAATTTGTTAGTTGAACTAAGCAAGTGAGTGCTTAGTGTGTAAGTGTGTGTTTATCATTTGAATTTATTTGGCAGTGTCCCAAAATTCCGGGAAATTAATAAATAAATGGGATTTACAAAATTAATTAAACCACTATTTTGTAGTGCTTCCGAAAGCTGTTCTTGATTTTAATTGGTCCACGTGGCTTGGACATAATAGTTTGAACGGGTCAAATATGACAAGTCTAGAAAGTTATTGTCTTTCATTATAAATATTTGACTATTGAGGCACCCATGACACGTAGAATGAAAATGACACACTGGCTTCTTTTATAGTAGCTGTTTGGAATTTTGTGTGAAAAAAGATTATTCTAGTGGCCACCCACCTTTTCTTTTTTCCTTTTATTTAAAATGCTAGTTTATTTAGTCTTGAAAATTTTCATTTATGTTATTAAACTAAAGTTCTTTTCATTTTATTTGGTAAAAAATAAACTATAGTTCATTAGGTAGTGCCTATTTCACGGATTTATTTGATGTTATGTGTACTGATTGATTATTAACGGTTGATCTGTTCATATGTATGTGTGCTTAGAGAGAAGTTATTTCACTGCATCAATAGTTAAAATTTACTCGATGTATTTTATTGGGTGTAGCATCTCAATAACATATTTCTCCCATCATATACCACCTGCTCGGCGGCCACATGTCCCTTTTGACTCTTGCAAAGTGTCATTTAGTGTGCTAATAAATTTCATTTATGTGAGATATATTGTTGGATGGGATAAATTCTGAATTACAAAGCATGAATTAATCAATAATCGGAAAGTTGGTTTAAAAAGTTAACTCAAATAACTATAAATTTCATATTTTGAGTTTTGTTAAATCGAAACTAAAAAATGGTTAAAATCACATGCGAAGCTAAAATCGATATTATTAAAAATGAAACAACATTGATCGTATCATTTTAAAAATTAGGTTTTATATTTATTGTTTTTTGGTTTTGTAAGGTAAAATAATAGGGAATTTATATTTGAATTATTATATGGCCAATAGAATGTCAATTTTCATTTCACATACTATTTCGTTTAGCCAATAAAACATTTATTATAAGTTCACACAATGTATGGGAAAATTATATTTTCCATCCTTCAAATCTGCACTAATTTCATATGACGTCCTTCATATTTACAAAAAATACATTTTGTCCCTCGTGTTTCAATAAATTAACAATTTTAGACATTTCCGTCAACCTAACGTCGTCAGTTAAGGCAGATGGGCACATGGTAGATTCCGTTAGTTTTAACGGAAAATTAGCCGAACTAACTAAAATTGTTGATTTTTTTAAGAATAAGGGATCAAAAGTGTTTTCTATGAATAGGGGGACCAAATGTGGAATTAGTACAAACTGAAGGGATTCCCCACAATATACTATTAACTATATAAACTATATTTTAAACAGGTCTTCCAAGAAGCGCCAAATACGGCATCATAATCGGAGTCGGAATCCCAGCTCTCATATGCACCATCGGCCTCGCCTGCTACGCCTGCGGCGTAATCCAATCTTTCCGCCGCCTCCACCGCCGCCACCTAAACTCCATTAATTAAGAATGATAAACAACATAATTGAGAAAAATATAATTAATGTATCACAATTGCTTCTAGCAAATATATTTGATGGGGCCCATTTTGGCAAGCTTGGGTTGGGCCCAAGGAAATAGGCCAGCAGAGGAAACACGAGCTGGGCCGGAGGAGTTTGTATGAATTTGTGGCCCAAATTAGGCCTTAACTCGTAGGACAAGGCGCGAACTGCATGGGAAGACTCGAAGAAGAAGCAAAGGAGATATTTTATACAAGGAAAGGCGATAATATTGGATAAGTTAAGAAGGAAACGTGCAATTTAGAGATAATTGGCTGATTTTACGCCTCTATTAACTCACTTATATAAACACATGTAAAAACCCTCATTAGGGTTACGTTTTTAATACATCAATAATATATTTCTTTACTTTTTTCTCTACAAACTTTATTTTATTCTTTATACATCTAGTCACCGCTGCCCGATCCGGCTAGTGGTGGATTCTCCGGCAATGCTCAAAGTAGGATTTCGGAGAAGGTCTTGAGGGTGAGAAATTCGAGCACCATCAAGTGGCGCCGTCTGTGGGAATTTCGAATCGAGCTGAGACGTTGAGGGTCATCAATAAACAGGGAAAATTCTTATATAGCAATTCTTGTATATTCCTATTCATGAGTTTATAAAATTTAATTACATGTTTATATGGATGTTCAAGAAATATACTCTTAATGTGATTTGATCTGATATGATTTTATTCTAATAATGCGTCTGTTATAGGATTCTTGATTTCCAAAATTCTCATATGATTTCTTTTCCATGAATTGTGCTATGTTTTAGGGTAATGAGCATCTGCCAGTTTATATGAAAATTTCATAATTGCCTAATGTTGTTCACTCTTAAAATTGGTTGTATATTGCAAGCTTGTTGTACATTAATGTGCTCTTGATATTGGCGAGATCGGCGAACACACGTGGTGCTGAGTATTTGAGTAATGGAATTTAATCTTTTATATTTTATGTGGAAGCCAATTCATATTTCTAGTATGATGTGGATATACATGTTATATAGTCCCACTAATAGAAAAAAGATTTGATTTGTATTACATGTTTTGACTGTTTGCGCAGACATGTGGTAGTACTCTTAAGTTAACTTTAATTATAACATGTTGGTTTGTAATGAAATCTAGGAGGATATAATTTGAATATTTAATTCAATAATAAGAATACTTGATTTTATCTCCATGCAATACACTGTTCCTCGAGCATTGTTGTAGATTGTGCTAATCCTGCAGGTGTGATAGTTTACCCCGACATATGAACTAATAGTTTCAAATAAAGCTCGAGAGAACATCAGCTAGCATCTCATCTCCTAGCCTAGTTGTTCGTGGAACTTGCGTGAAATCGTCAGATCGCCATTCTATTAAGTTCTCAACGCCTCGGAGTTTATGGGCAGGCTTATTTATCCTTCGAGATTGTCATAACAATCTGCTTCACTATCTTGAGTACGATATTAAGCAGCTCGTTGTTATTATAATTATTTTAACTAATCTTTATTTTGCAGTTCGTCTACCAATAGATCTAGAGTTAGGTGTTAATGAGCTCGTTTTTATGAGAATATCTGAGTTAATATTTCTTTGCAGCTCGTATATTTCTTAAAGCTCAATATTAATGAGTTTATTATTATTAGAGTTATTTGAGCCAATCTTTCTTTGCAGCTCGCCTATCTCTCAAAGATCGGCATTAACGAGTGCGTTAATATTAAAACTATTTGAGCTAACCTTCACTTGCAGCTTGACTATATGTTATTGGAACTCCACGCTTATCTTAGTTTATTTACTGGGGCTCGTATATTAGCTCGCGTTTACCGGATCCAATCCGCATTAATTTCTTCGGCTTGAAGCTCGTTCCTTTATAGTATCAATTGAATTAATCACACAATCTTAGTCTCCAGTGAACCACTTCGTTTAGATCACTAGAGACTAGGGGAGAGTAGATCATGGGGCCAATTCGACATTTTATAGAGCTCGTGTAAATCTTTGGGCTTGGAACCCATTGGTGGGCCATGACCCAACTTTATCATGTTTAATGGTTCAAAATTAGGTCAAAGACTAAAAGGCATGTATGACTTATAAATATTTCCACCTTCTCCTTTCTAAAAGGTACGCTTTATTTACACACATTACACACTCCAACACACTAAATCACACGATCAAAATCACAGATCTCACATCGTCTTCTTCTCTATTTCGTTTTCCTATCATTTTACTCTTTCTTGAACTACTTTCCCAATTTACTTGAGCGTTGGATGGTCTCCCCGGGGCTCAAGGGCCAGGATTTCAGGTAACCCTCGCATTAATAGGGCAAGTATGCTTCAATTTGACTTCGTATGAGGTCGCATTTGAGTTTGGTAACCCTTGTATATTTAAGGATACTCGCATTTGTCCTTTTAAAACTATATTAAATGTCTATTTCTCTCAATGATTTACTTGTCATGAAACCTAATGAAACATTGCTATAAATTATTAACTATACCATTATTTCAGAATTTTACTTCAACATCTTAGTACATAACTCCATGATTTTGAACTTGTTCGCTGATGCTTGAATTTATTTAAACTCGCCTTTAGTGAAGTCCAAATTATATAAAATTGTCTCAAAAATCTATTATATGCTCGCATATGTCTCTAAAAGTTCGCAGTTATATTTCAAAATTAAATTCTTGAAGAATAAATTCTTTTGATTCAATTTATCTTAAGGTCAATTATATGTTAGATTTCATCATGCATGAGTTCGCATATGTATCTTCATTATATGTTTTATATTAAAAAAAAAAAAAAAATCGCTAAGGGTTGGAAGATCCCCACGGCTTCGGCCCAAAAGGTAGTTGAAAGTGTTTGATAAGGGTTGGAAGATCCCCGCGGCTTCGACCCAAAATGTAGTTGAAAGTGTTTGATAAGGGTTGGAAGATCCCCGCGGCTTCGGCCCAAAAGGTAATTGAAAGTGTTTAAAGGGTTGGAAGATCCCCGCGGCTTTGGCCCAAAAGTAGTTGAAAGTGTTTGATAAGGGTTGGAAGATCCCCGCGGCTTCGGCCCAAAAGGTAGTTGAAAGTATTTGAGAAGGGTTGGAAGATTCCCGAGGCTTCGGCCCAAAAGGTAGTTGTGTTCGCCCGAAAAGTAAGTTATGAACGTTCACACAGTTGAGCTCATTACGCTCGTTTGAACAAAATATTAACCACTTATGGTTATGAAAATCAAACAAAAATAAAAACACTAATACTTCAATAATCGCGTGTTTCGAAAATAAACATAAAACGTCAAGGCTCCGCGAAAAGCGGAAACAGGTGACTTAAGCTAAAAGCAAGCGGAAAAAAAAATGTGATGTTCGATTTTTGACTTTTCATATTCTCAAGCGAACCACTTCGCTAGGTTCACTAGAGAATAGGGGGGAGTAGATGATGGGGCCCATTTTGGCAAGCTTGGGTTGGGCCCAAGGAAATAGGCCAGCAGAGGAAACACGAGCTGGGCCGGAGGAGTTTGTATGAATTTGTGGCCCAAATTAGGCCTTAACTCGTAGGACAAGGCGCGAACTGCATGAGAAGACTCGAAGAAGAAGCAAAGGAGATATTTTATACAAGGAAAGGCGATAATATTGGATAAGTTAAGAAGGAAACGTGCAATTTAGAGATAATTGGCTGATTTTACGCCTCTATTAACTCACTTATATAAACACATGTAAAAACCCTCATTAGGGTTACGTTTTTAATACATCAATAATATATTTCTTTACTTTTTCTCTACAAACTTTATTTTATTCTTTATACATCTAGTCACCGCTGCCCGATCCGGCTAGTGGTGGATTCTCCGGCAATGCTCAAAGTAGGATTTCGGAGAAGGTCTTGAGGGTGAGAAATTCGAGCACCATCAATATTCATGACGAGGCATATGTTTTTGTTATGCTACTAATACTTGCACTTGCTCGCCTATTCTACCCAAATCTAGCTGAGACAAAGTTACGGAGCGTAAAACAAAAAAAATACACTGATGTTTCCGGGATTTTGTTTTACGGGTGCTTAAAACAAAATTAGTACTGGTTTTGTGATGGACAAAAGAATCATCCGTTATTTGAAGAGTATATGCTGAATAAATAGTCAAAACCTTAAACTAAACATTAATAAGTGTAAGAAACAAGGACCCTTACCGCAATTTTCCAAACAAACAATAACTGAAAATAAAAAACAAATACAAAAACTATTGAAGTCCAAATGTGAAACTAAATTAATTCAAATATTTTATCGAAGCAATAGAGATAAGAACAAGTAACTCCAATGTCTACACAATGACTTGTACAGAGATTTCCACTCCAACGGTGCAACAACCATCAATAAGAAAATCCTCTTTGGCAATATTCATGAATGAAAACCCCCAACTTGTCTTTGAAGATGTAAACCAGTGAGAAACTGCAATTACCAAGCAAAATCTATTATTTTCAATATATTCAATGAGCATAGCAAATCATAAGAAAAACTCGAAAGTACGACTACTTACGGTTTCCTGAGTCTGCATTTGACCTGCCTTTCAAGTGCATACGAAACCTCACCTTAACCTTTTGATGACTAGCAAAAGTATCCGCACTAACACACACCAAATATATTGGCACTACGCTGTCTTTTGAACTTAAAGCTCCCTTTGGATATAACCTTATCTTCCTGCATTTACAAATATATCAATTATACCAATTGGCCTAGGAGAATGAATTGGAAAGATAAGAAAGATACCAATTGAAACCGCTCGCATGAAATTGTTTAGAAGTCCAAATATCTTCCAATATAGAGAAGTCTAAACTCCAATTGCGTATATGCGTTGACGGTGGATTGATTAAAGTCACCCTCTCAACAACGGGTTGTTTGTTCAAAACAAATACTTCAGCGCCAACCACTAAATTGTTATCAACAAGATATCCACTTGATTTATTGCTCAAACTTTTTTCAGAGATAAATTTTGAAAATCCTCATTGAGACTTTGTTTCGTTAAAACAACAGCCACGCTGATATGGGCCATTCTGACCGAAACAAATATATATGAACCGAAAAGATCCAATTCGTCATTATGAGGAAGGATGTCGAACCACGGCTCCTCAATGACGATTTGGAAATACCATAGCTCGCAGCCCAGTACAAAAACGAGGTAAGACAGGCCCAAAATAATAAAGGCCCAAAACACGTGGCTTGAAGGGAGAGCAAACCCTAAAAAAAGAAACCTTGGCCTCCAAGGTTTCATCATCTATAAATAGAGGAACCATTAATCACACACGGATATACTTTCACTACAATAACACACATACATTTATCTTTTTATACCACTGACTTGATCGTCGGAGCTTTTCCGCCGGAAACTCCTCCCGGCGTTGCAGGTATTCTCATCGGAGTACGGATCAAGGTGCCTTGAAGAAGATGGAAGCCCCACGGACCAAATCAAGTGGCACCGTCTGTGGGAAAGTTCTAAAGTTTTTGGCACACAACTTCCAGGAAAATACTACATCTGCCCCTGGAAGTCCAGATCTGAGCTATAAACGTGGAGAACAATGGAACTAGGAGACACCATCGCCCGAAACTTACAAAAGGAATTAGATGCTGCAGCTCGCGACACGCCCATTGCCAATCCGTCATCTGTCCTGAAGGATAAGTCAGGATGCAGCCTGGTCACGCCCGAAAAGGAAGGCCAGATTCCTCGCTTCTCGGGCAGTCCTTCTTTTGAGTTTCAAAGTGGTGAAGCCATTTCGAAGAAACCGGTCACAGCCCCGGTTCAACCTCCTAACGAGCGTATGTACACCAAAGATGAGGTGGAGGCCATGATCACTACGGCCATCCGGAATTACACTCAGTCTTTACCCCAGGGTAACAGACCTAGAAGAGACCTTAGGCGCCCCCCGAACGAAGAGCGAGCTGAGGATGAGTGCGATAGTTACTCGGAAAACGGAGAAGGCAACAGTCAAGGCGTCAGGACCGAGGTCGATAGTCTGAGGCGGGATATAAACGAATTAAAGGCTTTACGGAGCGGTTTAGCGCGGGCTCCCGAAGAGTCTAGCCCCTTTGCTAAGCATCTCGATAATGACCCTATATCGGTTAATTATCGACCGATTTTATTTGAATACAACGGCACGTCGGATCCCGCTGAACACCTGAGCCGATTCAGCAACACGGCATCACTCCATCAACTCACTGAAGGAGTAAAATGTCGCGCTTTCGTTACCACTCTGGCTGGGCCAGCTCAAGCCTGGTTCGGTATATTACCGCCCGGAAGCATACACTCCTTTGGCTTTTTATTATGTTTACATTTGTCAAACGGTCAACATAGTAATATTACTCTATTACACAATAATAATGCATTTTTTTGTGTTAATATTATTATGCTAGAGATTAATATAGCAATATTACTGTGTTCAACTGTAGTATATTTATTTTTACTGTGTTTAACAGTAATATAGTTAATATTACTGTCAATCACAGCAATATTGATGTTTAAACGAAAAAAAAGATGTTATAGAAAGAAGAAAGAAAAAAAATTGAAAAAGTCAACGCTAGAAACCGGTGGCGGAAAAAAAAAAGTCAACGCTGGAGACCGGCGGTCAATGGCGGTAACTGACGAAATTGTGCATAAAAATGTTTTTGGGTCAAAATTGAATAACTTGTGAAATTTGGGGTTAAATTAAATTAATGGATGAAATTAGAGCATATTAAAGTATGAGGAACTATTTTAGTCTTTTACAAAAAATTGGACCATGTGTGAACTTATTTGTAAAGGAATTTATTGTTTGGATCCCTTTATGAATAAGTACTCATTAATGGACTTATTTGTAAAGACCCCTAAAATTAAAGGGTGAGTATTTAAAGAATTCAAAATAACGTAACAATATTTTTTCTTACAATTCACGCTATGTTAAATGTTAAACAAATAATTTTTTTTATCTGAACCTACCTTCAAAATTGATGGTTGATTTTGTTGAAATATAATGCACTTTCTAGAACTATATAAATACATGTACAATGTATATGATAAAATAAATATGCAATACATGTATATCTAGGTACTCATGATGAACCTTATTTAATATGATGCATGTACCTCCCTCTTATGCCTAGAGTAGTATAAATAGGTGTATGATTGTATTCTCAATAAATGTTAGCAAGAGTAAAATATATGTAGGAGATATGTACTCATCGATTATTTTCTTGTTAATTTTGTTCGTATATTATCGCAAAATATCCAAAATGTTAAGTGTTGATTTTCCTGGTGCTATGGGAGGTGTTGTCGTATTTGGTAGTGTAATCTGGGGCATTGGAGCCGGCGACGAAGGCTTCAATAGCTCAAATGATTTCATTATTGCCAACATTGAATTCGGCGCCGTAGGTTTTGAGTCATAACAACCGACAGGCGTGAACCTATCAAATTAAATGCATGAGTGGTTGATTTGAAGATCTCATCATTTCTCTTTTCTTCCACAAACATCATGTGAGCGCACACGCACACACATAAAAATCATGATAGATTTATTGTTTTTTTTTCTAGAGACACACACATATAAGAAATTATGGGAGATTTATCGAAAGCCCTTATCTTTGTCAATAATGTTGTGGTATGTTAGAGTTCATAACAAATGCATAAAGAAAGGATAATGAGAAAATAGAGGAGAAAGGGGAAAAAAAGAGGTAAACCGTACACACACTCCTCCCATGGTCGTATGTATGTGTGTTTGTGTAATATTATTATTTTTTTTGATGTTTTTTATGTGTTCATGTGTGTTTTGTATATTTGTGTGCACTTTTATGAAGTTTTGCTGATCTTATTTGTTCGATGTGCTTTGTGTGTTTTTAAGATTTTTTGTATATTGTTTGAATTTTTGCGTATTTTTATATGCTTTTGTGTTCGTTTTTTTTTTTAGATTTTTTTGTGTATTTTATGTGTTATGCACATAGCCTGGAAATTCAGTCATCCACCATAATATCGGAAGTTGTGAGAAACTGAAATTTTCAGTTGAGAAACTGAAATTTTCAGTTTCTCCTCCTTCTCTGCATTTTTTGCGTTATTGATCATCTCCTCTACTCTCTGTAGAAATGCGCTCCATGTTTTGAGAATTAGTTCCTTGACCGCTTCAATACCTATCCTCCTCGCCATATATTACAGGTTTTTGGAAGTGGAAGTGTTAAATTTTGTTCCGGCGTGTGGCTTGTATGTGTTTATATAGTGGGGTGGGGCCGTGGGGACCTGGGTTCCATGGGAGATCTAGAGAGGTTACAATTCGCAACAGAGTCTAGGTGGGTTCTGCACAGTTACATATATATATATATATATATATATATATATATATATATATATATATATATATATATATGGGTTTAAATTTCAGACGGATGAGGCGATTTTAAAGAATAAGTGGATTCCAGGCATCTTATGACACGTGGAGGAAAAGTGAATTAACTCTTTATGAACCCCATAAACTTGAGGGGTGAAAACTATAATTTCCTAAAAAAAACCCTTACATCGTGATAAAAATTAGTACTTTATCAATTATCTTTCAACGAATTTATTAAGAATGATAAATAACATAATTAAAAAGAAAAAAATGCAATTAGTGCATCACAATTGCTGCGATACATATTCATGACGAGGCATACGTTTTTGTTATGGTACTAATATTTGTACTTGCTCACCTATTCATTACATAGGAACCGGACGATCCTATTTGGTCAAATACCTAGTGACAAACTCCTGTGTTGCTTTTGTTACGATATTTTTGAACAAGTTTTTTGATAACAAGCCTAAATGTCTTCGTATTGACGATAGTGACGATATCGAGCGTGACCTTGATACGAAGCTGAAACTACTGATTATAATAAACGCGCTAACTATGAGTATGATGCCGGAAATCCACCGATTTTATATCAGCCTTCGATTCAAGTTTTTTCGTCTCCAAAATTAAAAATTTCTTTAACACCGAGGCAATCCTCTCCAAAATTAAAATTTTCTTTAACACCGAGGCAATATTACTTTGATAAATCTAATATTTAATTGAGTGTATAATCCAAAAAAATTAGCGAGAGAAAGCCCATGGGCTTTATTCATTTTAGTCTGGGGCCTTCTGATTTTTCTCTAAACCAAATTTGAGTATTTCTCAGATAGCAGAAAAACGACGTCGTATAGCTTATAAAAAAAAACAGAAAATTGAAAATGTTCTAAATCGACGACCTAAAGTTGATGCAGCCAAAGCAAAAGACAGAAGAATCTAACGATCTATTACACAATTACACACAAATGTTCTTGATTTCTCACCGAACTCATAAACCCTCAAAACCCTGATTCCCACTCTCCCTGTATTTCTCGAAGCAGGTCAGATTTTCCGTCTCAAGATTCATAATTTGGGCGAAAAGAGTTTCATCTATTGTTAGAGATCCGAAATCCATTTTCAGTAAATGTTTGTAGATACAATTCAATTTCTAAAAAAACCCTATTTTTTTCTTTTTTAGGAGCTAAATTAATGGCTTACAGGCGGAGCATCACTTCCAGAGCGAAGCAATTTTATCAGCAGCAACAAATAATTGCTCCCCCGCTCTCAAATATTCACCGCGACGACGCCGATCGTGAAGAATCGCGCTCCAATCCATTTCCATTTCCAGCGAATCACGAAACCCGCAATTATATCCAGAACCGTTTCTTCGGCGGCGGAATAAATAATTCGAGCAGTTTCAATGGGTCGAGAAATGTGTTTCGAGATTGGAGATTTGCTGCTCCGGCGGGTTTCGGTGGGTCCGTTTTCGTTAGGGATTTTTCTAGTGCGGGTATCGGAGGAGGGGCGGCTGATAATATCGAGTTTTTAAATGACATGGCGGGTATCTTTGTCGAGAAGGCTGCTGAGGTGGCGCCTGCGGTGAATGAGGTGGCGATTGCGGCCGCGGATTCGTTTTATCCGGTGGCCGCGCTTCAGTACTTGATTGAATACATTCACATTTCAACGGGGTTTCATTGGTGAGATTTAACATCTCTGATTAGTGTTGGGGTGTTTATGGTTCGATTTTGATATTAGGTTTTGGTTGATATGTTTGATTATTCATTCATGTGTAGCGAAATCGAGAGTTTTAGGCTCTGTTTGGATCAAGGAAAAATGATTTTCAAATTCTTTGTTTTCATTTGCTATTGCATTTTTATTTTCCTGATTTTAAAATCCACGAACCAAACAGAGCCTTAAGCTACTTTTACATATACAATTGTTTGTTTGATGATTTGTTTTGTTCGTTCACACATGCTTTGGTTTTGAAGCAAGTAATAGCCTAATTATTGAATTTTCTAGTAAATTTTGGATTTTTTTTCTTAGGTGGGCATCGATAGTCGTGACAACTCTTTTGATTCGTACCCTACAGCTTCCACTTATCCTACATCAGCTGAAAGCCACTTCAAAATTTACTGTAAGAATTAATACCTAATCCAAACACAGCTTTGGTTTACCATATCGTTTTTTTTTTTTGCACCTGAGGCGAACGCGTTTATGTGGTCTTGTGCAGCTTCTAAGACCAAAGCTGGAGGCAATTAAAGAAGAAATGAACAACGGGGTATGCCCCCCGAACTCTCGTTTTTCTATTCTGTCAAGTTGTTTGCCTCCACTGAAATTCCGGTTAAAAATTCTTAATTGTGTTGCTTTTGACTATTGATCGTCGTGCTCAATAACTGTTTTTACAGGATATGAGTCCCTCTACTGTTGCTGACGGCCAGGCGAGAATGAAAAAATTATTCAAAGAGTACGTATCTTTTTCTCATTCTTAATAATCGAGAGAATCGCCAAGGGGGAAAACCCCATCGTAATAGTTAATCGAATGTCTTATGGATCTTGAATTTGTTTGCGGGCTTCTTTTTGTTATTGGATTAGTCGAGCTTGAACGAGCTTACATTGTCTACAACATAATTCGAGCTTGGTTTGTTTACACATTTTATCATCGTTAAGTTATTAACTAATGCAGTCGTGTTTGAGTTGGTTCGGTACGAGCATTTTGACAAATATAATTGTGCTTTGGATTTTGCAGACATGGCGTAACTCCATTCACTCCTTTGAAAGGAATTCTAATTACGGCTCCCATATTTTGCAGTTTCTTCTTTGCCGTAAGATTACATTCTCCGCACTTTACGTGGACCGTATTATTTGACTCGTCTCTCATATTTGACATTTGATCTCATCAATTTGTGTACAGATTAGAAACATGGCGGAAAAAGTTCCGTCTTTTAAAGATGGAGGAGCATTCTGGTTTATGGATTTGACAGCTCCCGATACTATGTATATATTTCCAGTTTTGACTGCGTTGACTTTTTGGATTACTGTGGAGGTTAGTTAGCTACCTTCTCGATTATTCTGTTTACTGTCTTAAGATACGATGAACTTTTCTATATTGTTGTTTCGGATATTTATTGAGTTCAGTTTCTTCCATGAAAAGAAAAAAAGAAAAAAAGAAAAAAGAGAGAATAGAAAGAAAATGGAAAATAGGTTCTACACATGAGGCTTGGGTAGGGGTGGAAATCGTAAAGATCGGATAAAAATTAGCACTTTTGAAAAAAATCCATTTTTTTCACAAGTGAAAAACTATTTCCAATTTCGTTCCCGGAAAAAGTTGAAAGAAATCGGAAATTGGAATTTCTGAAATTTTGATGAAAAAAAAATTGTCCCAAAATCGGAAATTTTCGGGTCGGACTCGGCGCGGCAGAATTCAGAATTTGCAGTTTTTTAGTCACCTATGATATAAAATGCATAATAATATTGATATGTAAAGTGTAATTTTCGGAACAGAACTAGAATTTTCAAAAATATTTTTGGAAAACAAAATGCGGATCGGAATCCAGAATCTAACATGTGTTCCAATTCCAAAAAAAAAATTGAAATCGGAACTTTCGAAATTCAGAGTGAAAAAATATTGTTCCAAAATTGGAAATATTCGGATCGAAATTGTGGAATTCAGAAATTCTGTTCCAATTTCCACTCCTAGCTTGCCACAAGTTAAACTTTTAACCTATAATACATGTATTCACGACTAACTGATTGTTTACCATAAGACGGATAAATTTGATTAAAGTATTTGCAGGATCGCTAATGTAAAATTCGGAATCACTATTTCAAACACCTCGATAATTCGGCAATCGAAAGGATAAGCAATTATGATTTAAAGCTTCATTGACTATACTACAGCACATGGTTTTCTAATTTCTAATTTGTTCCTCAATGTTTCGATTGGTTTTTTTTCTCTCGTCCGATCTTTATGCACATTGCTCGGATCTGTCATGTTTAGTTTTTTAATCCACTTGAAATATTTAATCATTTTTTCGTTTTCAGTGCAATGCGCAAGAAGGTTTGGAAGGCAATCCGACTGCTGGTACCATAAAAATCGTCTCTCGGGTCTTTGCAGCGTTGACTGTCCCTTTTACCGCAAGTTTCCCCCAGGTACGTGGTGCATAGTTTTACTAGCACGAAGCTTCGCCTAATATTATTTAAATTTTAAGTGCTAGACTGAGAGAGCCATTTGTCGATTAAAGTACTTGATTTTTTATTCAACATTATCATGAGATATACGGTAGAGCACATCTCAAGAAGGTGCTTTGGAGCTGAAAAACCGATAGTTATTTCGTAAGTGCAAGAAACGGATTTACAGAAGCGACCAAGTTTTTCCCCATTTACCGATTAATTTCTGCTTCGATTTTCATACTGTTTAATCATCCCTTTGTTAGTAATGTTAAATTCACGAATATATTTATATTAATTCAATTTATCAACTAAATCCATAAATTACATTGTTCGTGTATATCTACAGGCTGTATTCTGCTATTGGATCACCTCGAACCTGTTTTCACTCACATACGGATTAAGTGAGTCCCGTTAATTTTCCAGCCACGCATTACGACTTTTGTGAACGTGTCAATTTTTTTATTTTTTTCTTCCAAAAAATAATTTCCATTTACTAATTTTCTGATGTTTGTGTGTGTTTTTTCAGTTGTGAAGAATCACAAGGTTAAAAATCTCTTGGGCATACCAATTATAACCGTGGCACCAACGCCCGCTTCAGATAATCCAAAGCCTGGATTCTCGTTTTTCGCAGCGATAGATAAATATGCAGCCGCCATGAAAAAGCAAAATCTATTACCACCACCACCCA